CATATCACACTATTGCATGCCAGCGATTCCCTGTATCGATCCCCATCCCTGTCAAAGAACTATATGCGGCGCGTTCACTAAATTCGTTTCCTCCAGTCGGCCGTACCTCTCGAGTCGGTCGGCGGGGCCAACCGTGGGCCACTCTCGGCCTTTGGTGCGGCCCCCTCGCCCTGCGTTCTTCGCTGGTCGTCTCGGTCCAAAGCACCGCACGCCGCATCTCATTGATGTCATTGTATTTCAGAGTGATGAATCTGGATTCCTCGCAGAAGTTTCGCAGGAGCAGCCTCACAAGGATAAGACACACACATAGGGGCCCAAGGCGCAGAATGAAAAAATATCATCATCATCATCATCATCATCATCATCATCATCATCATCATCATCATCATCATCATCATCATCATCATCATCATCATCATCATCATCATCATCATCATCATCATCATCATCAGCATCATCATCATCATCATCATCATCTTCTTCATCATCATCATCATCATCATTTTTCCAACGGCATCAGAGCCAAAAGAAACGGAGATACTTGTGCATAGCATCTCGCACACATTTGAGGCTCGTCGGAGAGAGCGGTGACTCTCGAGTGCTGCTCAGAGCGGTGCCACCAGGGTGCTAGACACAGCGGGGGCCTGGCGGCATGCGGGCGAAGCTATGAATAAAATTCTGCTGCTACGAGGTCCTCGGCCTCATAGTCATCGAAAGGCTCGGGGTCGGCAGTCTGCGCTGGCAAACCTGGGCCTGACTCCGAGCCTGGCTCGCTGGGTGGGGCGCGGGACGTGGCAGAGGCTGCTGTCGCTGGGACAGCGCTCGAGGCTGGCAAAAACCTCCACTCACAAATCTGACGGGCTCTAGAGGCTGTCGCTGATCGTCTCCAGCCAGTGGCCCACTTCGTCCTCGAGCCAGCCCGCCGGGGCTACCCCCTTGTGGTGGGTCGCGACTGCCTCTGCCTTCAGCGCCCTCTGAATGAGAGCGCGCCCCTCCCAGCTGGGGGCGCCCACGATGACCTTCATCTTCTGAGAATCGTAGCAGCTCTCCAGGCGAATGAAACTGACGGCGATCTCCAAGTCCACCATCATCATCATCATCATCATCATCATCATCATCATCATCATCATCAGCATCATCATCATCATCATTATCATCATCGCTATCGTCGCCGTCATCATCAACGCCGCCTTCATCATTTTCCTCGTCTATGTCGTTACCCTCGTCAAATTTCTAGGCACGCGCATTTCCTCATCAGCCTCACCAGCAACATCGTCATGGCCATCGCCAGCGTCATTGTTTCCACGGTCGTTATCGTCATCCTCAGCTTCATCACCATCACAATCGTGGTCGTCGATTTCGTCGCCACCGTCGTCTGAATATCATCCTCATCGTCATCGTTATCGTCGTTGTCGCCGCCCAGTTGGATTTTGCGGACAAGTTGCGGGTGGGTGGGTGGGGTGTTTGCAAGAGTATCGGAGGTGGTCACGGTCATATCCACGGTCATATCCAGTCTAACTTATTTCTTTTCCAACGAAGGATCGGCTCTACCACCCTCCCAAGCCCAGATTTACCCTCCTCTGAGGTATTGTAATATACAGATGGTTCTGCCTCACCGGTCATTCCCCGTATGAGTTTATGCCATGACAACTCAGCCGGTAACGGCACCCCCTTTTCATTCTTGTCAAATAAGAATGTGGCAATTGTTCAACCCCTTGCGCAAATACCACAAGCCCACGCGCGCGCACACGTCAAATGACACAAACACATATATCCAGCACGCATTTCAACAGAACGCATAAGCAGGGCATGTTCTAGAACATGTTATGCCCGCGCGCACTTTCTGGAAGCTTAGAACAACATTTGATTGTAGCAGTTTCGTTCAGAAGCCGCCTTCTCATCTCATCGCGCGGTGCATCCGCGTTGCTCTAAAATGCGCGGGGGTGCACGAATCCCTATCAGATAATACGATGCGGGCCATCTGCGCACGCCGCCACGCGCGCGTGTCGGTATCTTTTCGAACCAGTTGGTGTTCGAATCATTTCAAAAAGCATTGCCAACACCAATGAAAGCCACCAGCTTCTTTACCAACACGTCTGCCACATTTCTTGAAGTTCAGCGTGCGTGCGCACATCCTCATCATCCGCCTCAGGACCATGGTAACATCACCGTCATACTCATCGTCAGGCGCCGCAATTGCCGCCATCATCCGCACATCCACCTTCGTCGCCGACACACGGACATCATCATCCCCATCGTCGACACCAGCATCGGCGCCGTCATTGGCCTTGCCCTCGTCATCGCCATCATCGCCACCACCGTCGCTACTGTCATCATCGTTGCTGTCGTTGTCGGCGTCATCCTGATATCCCGCCTGCCCGAGGCACCGACCCACACTGAGGTGCCCGCGCGCCAGCGCGGCCTCTGAGACGCGCTTGGAAGTTTCCATCGGTAAGCGCCATCGCGGTTGTGCCAATCCAGCTGGTTGCTTTGCGCGCAAGCGTGCGCGCGCCACCGCGACCAGAGAGATGCACAATTGTGGCCGGATGTGTTCTGCCAATCAAGTTGCGGTTGGGAGGGCGGGATTTCTGCGCGAGCAGTGGAGTTGAAGACTTCATATTCTTCACAAGTAGTTGCGCTACCTGGCGTGCACAACGTAGCTTGCACCACCTTGCACCGCATCTTCTAGATGCCAACACACAGCTTGCACCGCGTAGTTTGCACCACGAATATTGCATCACAGCGCCGATTCCAAATGTCTTGCGCCGCTAAGCTCGCACATCCAAACGGCAATGACCCATGGTGTTGGTCCAAGCTGGCATGCACCAGTATAATTTCTACTCGGAATATCCAGCCGTGGTGACGGGAACCTCCCAGGAGGCCCCAAACGGACACACAACGAACACGTTCTCCTTGATCCTCATCCCTTTTCTCATTCTATTGCCCCGTCCTCCTCCTCCTCCTCCACCTCCTCCTCCACCCTGCTCACCTTCCTCCTCCTTCCGCGCGCGCTCCCACGCGCGCGAAGGGAGGGAGGGGCAGGGAGAGAGGGGAGGCAGGCAGGGAGAGAGGGGTCAGGGAGGAGGGACGAGCGCACGGCTGGTCAGCCTCCTGCAGCAATGGGACGGCACTATGCCTCCGAATCTCTGACCTTCAAAAGCTCTCTTCACACAAGCTGGGCCAGAGAAATAGCAGGAGTCTTGAGCACGCAGGGGCACTCTTGGTACTCTTGGAGAGCCTTCCCTCCTGGGCCCTAGCCAACTGGGTGGCGGCCCCCTGGTGGGAAATCCTTCTCTTGCATTGGCTTGACAGGGCAATGAGATGCATAGAAGGCATCGAGCGTCTAGTGTGGACTGATCTGACGACAGAGCGAGCATCTCCAACGCCCATTCATCAGATAGATGGCGCGTTGCCTGTGGGGTTCCACTGGGGCCTCCCTCCGGGGGGAGGGGGAGGGGGAGGAGGAGGAGGAGGAGGAGGAGGAGGAGGAGGAGGAGGAGGAGGAGGAGGAGGAGGAGGCGGAGGCGGAGGGCTGTCGGCCGCGGCCTTGGCCTTGGATTTGCCAGTCGAGGTTGCTGATCGTGTTGTGGCGCTGGTTCCCTGGCTTGTCAAACTTGTGGAAGGCATCCGGCCTGACCACGAGGAGATTCTCCGGCGCAACGTTGCATTTCATGCTGTGGCCTTTGGAGTGATGATTTCTGGTGCAGGAGGCAAGGAGCTGCGACATGCCCAGCATGGGCCCCGGCTAGAGTCGTGTCTTCATGGCGAACGTCTTCCTCGTCCTTTTCCTTGGAATCGTGAGGCGTCTGGCTTCATCCCAGGAGTTGTGGCCAATTTCCTGGCAAGGGAGTTCGAGCTGGGTTTTTGCCAGGCGGTGGATGACTCTGGCTCTCACCTTCAGCGCGGAGTGTAGGAGCTTATCGAGAGCAGCAATGAGGCGAGCATCAATGGCTTAGAGGATGCGGTGTTCAATGCTGTGGAGTCCGCCGAGGAGGCCGAAGCTTTGGAGCCAGACTCTGAGAGCGAGGCCACGGAGACGCTGAAGAGCTTCCCAAGAGTAATCAATTCAGGTTCTGTTTCGAGGGCCACGAGCTGGTAAGGGATGTGCATGACACTCCAGGCAGTCGGACCTTCTGCGAGGGTGTTGGTGTGACATCGAGGTCGGCGCAGACCTGTTCTTTTCTATCGAGGACACTGGTGATTGTGGGAGCTTGTTTTGCGAGGCATGTGTATACCCTGATTTGAGGTGGTCGGGGAAGTAGCAGGATAATGTTCTTGACCCAATGGAGGCTGTTTGCTATCATCCTGTGTCTTTCTTATTCTGGAGGCTTACGCTCTTTCGTTGTGCTTCGGATGCCCCGGAGTCATTTGCAAGAGGCTGTCTGGCATCAATTGCGAAGAGGGTGGTCCTTTGTGAGGCGGAATGGGTATGGTGGTCGTCTTCGGGCCGTCCTTCGTGCTGTTCATCTGAAGGGGGCGGCCGCAATGTTCGGAACACTCTTCTGTCAGGTCAGATGTCAGAGGCGGAGTCGGAGGTGGAGGGGGAGGAGGGAGCGCAGGGCTCGAGGAAGAGGCGGGGCCCCCTGCGAGGCGAGGGCCGAGGCGGCTCCAGGCGGCTGTGAAGGGCTCTTCGCGGGTTGGGTCCGGGTTTGGCTTCCACGAGGGGCTCGCGCAGGCCGCTGCCCGATGGCCTCCACAGCATGTCTCAAACACTTCCTGGCGAGCTCTCGCAGGAGAGGGAGGGAGGGAGGGAGGGTGGGAGGGAGGGAGGGAGGGTGGGCAGGAGCCGATGGAGGGGGATCCTCGATCGATCCTCGACCGATCCTCGATCGATCCTCGATTTGTCCTCGACCGATCCTCGACCGATCCTCGATCGATCCTCGACTGGTCATCGATCGATCCTCCACCGATCCTCGATCGATCCTCGACCGATCCTCGATCAATCCTCGATCGATCCTCGATCGATCCTCGACTCGATCCTGGACTCGCCCCGAAGCCAGGCGCTTCAGCAACCGCAGCGGGCGGAGCACCTGGTCGTCCAGCGCGGCCTCCGTGGCCACGCTCGGCTCGGCGTCGCCCTCGCCCGCGGCCGCCTCGGACCCTCCCCTGCGGCGCTCGGGCCGCCGGCCCCCCCCCCCGCGGCCCCAATGTGATCGAAGGTGGGGGGTTCGAGGAGAAGGGAGGAGAAGGGGGAAGAGGAATGGGGGGGAGGAGAAGGGGGAGGGTGAGGAGGCGGAGGAGGAGGAGGAGGAGGAGGAGGAGGAGGAGGAGGAGGAGGAGGAGGAGGAGGAGGAGGGTGAGGAGGAGGAGGAGGAGGAGAGGAGGAGGAGAGGAGGAGGAGGAGGAGGAGGGTGAGGAGTAGGAGGAGGAGGGGGAGGATCGATGGAGGATGAAGGGGAGGAGGAGCAGCAGCAGGAGAAGGAGGATCGATGGATGATGATGAAGATGAGGATGATGATGATAATGAGGAGGGTAACGACGAGGATGAGGATGAATATTTGGCTCACGGGGGGGATAGCTTAAGGATAGAGAGAGAGAAAGCATTCAGGCTATCGTACCGTCGCCCTTTGACGCTCCCACGCTTCAGGATAGGACCATGTCTCTTTCCATTTTCTCTCGGGGCTCGCAAGGTACCTTCGATGTCAAGGAGTTCGCCGAACAGCTGAAGCCGTACATGAAGAGAGCGTGCGAAGAGTCCGTCGGAGCGAGGCTGAATGTAGTAAACAGAACCATCGGAAGTCTGGGAGTTCCAGTTTCGAAGCTGGAGGCTTTGGACGCCCGCGCCCAGGCTCTCGAGGCTGCGAGCCAGGAGTTCGAAAACTCGAACAAGCCGGGCACGCGCTGGTCCCATTCCAGCGGGTTGTTCGAGCCCCAGTTCGTCGAGATCAAAAATTTTTTTGCACGTGGGGCCAACGGCGTGGGAAGGGGGCTACTCGGGCAAAGGCCACAGGAAGGGGGCTACTCGGGCTACTCGGGCTACTCGTTTGCAGACCGTGTCTTGAGGGGAGCTCCCGCAGGAACTTCAGTGACACTTCGGCGGGCTCCAAGTGTTAGACATCCTTGGCTTCAAAATCCGCGTTCGCACCACCCCGCAGCACACCTGGAAGTTGAAGGACTGCATTTCTGACATCCTCAAGACGGGTACCTACAAGGTCAATGACCTCATTCCGTGCGCAGTTGCAGACAAGTCGATGGAGGGCCGCCAGCGGCACCAGAAGTTCGGCAACATCATCGAGTCCACCAAGAATGCGTTTGGGAACAATAACGGCCTGAAGATGGCAATTGCACGGTCTACTTGCTCGTGCTGCGTGGAGTCCGAGTCGGAGGAGAAGCCGTATTTGATCAGAAAAGGATCGGGCCAGGGGACTTGGTGGCCAACGCGCGGAACGTTAACAAGTTCTTCAATCTGTGCGAGAACAACTTCCTGGACTTATCGGGCCGTAAATTAGAGGGGAGACAGCTACTGGCGAGGTGTTTCGTTCCGGTATCCGTCGAGCCGTGCGTCCAATATTTTTCAGCAGTGCAGCTGCCCGATGCTTTTTCTATGTCCGTGCACTTTCGTACCGCGCAGCGGCCAGACAGTGAATTTTACGACATCGAAAATGTCACCGCGGATTGGAAACGACCTCGGCGCCGCGATCAAGCCTGTCTCATTGTCGGCGGAGGCGACTTCAAAATTGCACATCGGGCGCGGCACTGTTCTATCGCATGTTGTTTCATGCAGCAGCACAGAGAAAAGACGACGGATCGGATGCAGTTCGTCATGGCTTGGCTGTTCCCCCACGGACTCAGCGAAGCACGTTTCGCCCTAATCGATGGGGTCCTCAGCGCCTGAAAGCGCGGAGGAATAAACATACCGATGTCACATTGCAGGTCGATTATGTCAGTGTCGGCACTTTTTTCCTGGGCACGGCTTCTGCCCCAGACGGTTTTCGCATCGCGACTGAGCATGCCCCCATCGTGGCATGCGTGGCCGCCCGTCCCCGGATAGGAACCACGGTCTGCCAGCCGACGTCTTCGACAGGCCGGGCCCCTACTTCGGGTGCAGATTTGCGTGATTTTTTGCGTGTCGTGTCTGCAATTTGTGTCTGGTCAGGGAGCGGGCGCGCGGTCTTCGTGCAATCCTGCCTTGATCGAGGCCGGGGGTGGCTTCTATATCTCCAAAATGCCGCGCGTTATCAGCGCTTGAAGACCTCCCGGGAGAGCGCCGGAGGGAGTGAGGGGGGCCCGCCGTGCATGGGCAGGAACATCCCTAGATGTGGAAGCTGCGACAGTCAGTGCGGCGGAGATTGCACGGCGATCACGTCTCCGACGAGCGCGCCGCCGACATCTTCAGCCTTTGGGCAAGCGCCCCTGGAAGGCGCGCGCACCGCAGCAGTCTTTGTCGCCATGGGGGAAGGGGGGGGGGGGGGGCGACCTCCTCACGGGGCGAATGGCGCCGAGAGGCGCGCGAGATGCGGGGGGGGGGTGCGCCGGCGAGCGGAGCGACGTCGGGGTTCGACGCATGAGGATCCAGCGCCTCTGCGCCGCAGCGCGCGGCGAGATCTTGGATGGCCGGGGGCGCCTGGCGCTTGATTTGGCTTCGGCATTTTCTGTTCGAGCGTATTTGCGTCGGGCTCAGCTCCGGGCCTGGGCGGAGCGGCAAATCATATGTGGCAGTATATCCCGCTACTTTTGGTTTTGCGCATGTGGGCTTTATTCTTGGATCCTGCCTCTGTCCTCGGGGAGGCGTATCCTTCTTTGTCGGGGGTGCTGCAACGTTCGGGAATCCCGGGTGCGCCCGGGCCACGTGACTTGACGGAGTTTGGGTTCATAGCCAGGGCGCCCACTGTGCAGGAATTGTGTCTCAAGACTCTTCTCGACGGCTTCGGGGCCAACTTGGAGCCGAGCAAAGTGCGCGCGCGGGTTCGTATCTGGGATGTTCAGCTTGATGGCCGCAGAGCTGCTGCGACAAGGCCTTCGTCTAGGCCGGCGCTGGCGGCGCGGGGTGTTCTCGGTGGCTGGAGTCGTTCGTATGACCTCCCATGCGATGGTTCGCGCGGGGTTGGGCGGAGCCGGGGCGGGCTTTGCCCCGCCGCGGAATCCATCCACGGCGCTCAGCGGCGATGTTGAGCGAGCTGCGTGGCAGCGGGGCCGCGGTGGCGACTGCAGACGCTTGGCCTTCGCAGTTTTTCTCGCGCGACAAGGGCGGCCGCCGAGGCGGGGTGGGGGCGCTGCGCCTAATCGACAAATTGCCGGATGCAGTTCTCGAGAATGTCGTCGGCGACTGGGGTGCGTAGAACTCGGCCTTCGCACTCGATGCAGACCGCCGAGTGGTTCGCGCCATGTGCCCCGACCGCGCGTCCTCATCGTGGAATCAGCAGAAGAAGCAACCGACGTGTTTCAAAGGGTGACGTGGAAGGCGCAACCAGTGGAAACAATGTGCAGTCCCAGCGTTTCCGCGCCGTTGATGCGCTCGTTTGCGTCGCTGGCGGAGGAGGGAATGACGATCCAGCACTTCGAGGAGCTTCTGGCGTAGGGCGCGGTGTTGGGCCGCGCGGGGTCCGCCGCGCGATGCGCGGTGTACCGGGTGGCGAAGGCGTCTGCGCGTTCCTGTATATATCACAAGTTCTCGGTTCGAAGAATTGGAAATGTGGTTCCAGAGCGCGCGAATTGGAAATGTGGTTCCAGAGCGCGCGAATTCAGCAGGGGGGTGCGCGATGCTTGATTGCGCGACGCTAGGGCTGGCACCTACCGCCGGAGATTTCGAGCCGCGCTAGGGCGCGGGGCAGCCAGGCGGCGCGGCGCATCTCGCGTTCTCGCAGGGGCCCTGACGAGAGTCGCCAGGGTTACAACCAGAGGGCGCCAGAGAGGATCCACGAGTGTTGCGCCCCCGCCGGCGGGCGCAAAGCAGCGCGCTCGCGGCCGCGCCAGCTTCGGCCCCCCGCTCGGTGCCCGACCATCACATGACATGTTGGTGGCCAGGAATGGGAGCAGCATTGGATGGAGAGCCTGGTGGCGCTGAAAAGCATGGGCAACAGAAGCGGGGCTAACTGGAGGCACGGAGAGAGTGGTTGCCGCGTGCGTTCGGGAAATCCATCCCCGCTGGCTCACGGGTAAAACTGGCGGGGAGGGGGGGGGGGGGGGGGGGGGGCGACGGATTGGAAAGAGCGGCAACGTTTTCGGACGGGCGTTGAAAGCGAGGTCTGCTCGGCTTAGCACCTGCGGCAGACTCCGCGCGCATCTTAGCCGCATGTGCCACATGGGCGATCTGGCACCGGACGGCGTCGCACTTCGCTGCTGACGGCTTCTGGTGCAACAGTGCGTTCCTTTGAATTCAGTGTCGACAGCGAGCCCTTGTCCGGGTGGTGTAGTGCGACGGCAGTTATCCCACCTCGTTTTTCGTTCTCGTTTGACTATCGGAGATGCTCGCCAGGCATGTTGTGGAGAAGGGGTGGAGTATCAGCGATCCAGCAGACTCTTGAGTTCAATGAGTACATCGGAGGGGGGAACGTCGTGGCCGACGCGGTTGCCACTTCCGTCATGAATCTGAAAAGGCTTGGTAAAGCAATTTGCCGTTCCAGACAGTATGCACTTTGTCATGATATCTGACGGCGTGTGCCGAGTCTTCTGCAGCGTGGGGCATCCGTGTCTGGTCCGAGCCCGCAACGAGCCACTTACTTGTTAGCAGGGGGGTGTACGCACCGGGGCTGGACAGCTGCGAGTCGCGAGGCCGAACTACTCTGGCTGGAAGTTGCGGTGGCTGCTTTCTCATCGGTCAGCGTTTACGGGGAGTATGTGATTCCCCACGAACGCGATGTGTTCGTTCAAGATCTGAGTTGCGCCCTCTTCGGGCTCACGCGAACGATGAAGGAGCTGCGACCACGCATGCCCTCAACAATGAGGATGAGGATGGGTATGAGGATGAGGATGCGGGTGAGCATGCGGGTGGTGAGGATGAGGCTGATGAGGATGAGAATGAAGATGGTGAGGAGAAGGAAGAAAAGGACGGGGACGAGGAATAGGAGGACGTTGGCGATGGTGGTGGCGATGCTGATGATGCTGATGACGATGGTGATGCTGATGCTGACGACTATGGTGATGGTCTTGATGATGGTGCTGATGACGATGAAGGCGATGCTGCTGATGCTGATGATGCTGGTGGCTGCGGCAGATATGTTGGTAATGCTGGTGAAACTGCGGGTGATGTTGCTGCTATTGTTGGTGATAATGATGCTGATGCTGTTGCTGATGATGTTTATGCTGATGCTGATGATGAGGACGATGAGGTTGATGATGATGAGGGGGAGGAGGGATTGGCGAGAGAGGGAGGAAACAGGGAGGAACAGGAGGAGGATGTGGACGAGGAGGGGGAGCAGGGTGCTGATGCTGATGGTGATGATGATGATTATGGTGATGATGGTGTGCATGGTGATGACGAGGATGATGATGATAATGATGGTGGTTATGATGGTGAGGAGGATGAGCAGAGGGAGTAGGAGCAAAAGGAGGAGGAGGAGGAAGAGGAGGAGGAGGAGGAGGAGGAGGAGGAGGGCACGTGCAAACCCAAGAGTCATCAACGATGTCGGAATACACCCTCCCTCCAAACTCCCTCTTCGCAGGCCTCTACAACGGTTTACTTCAATTGATGGAATTGCCTTGGTGTAAGACAACCGTTCAAAGGCCCTGACGCATGCCCAAACATTGTTGTCGGGATTCCAACGCCACGGATCACCCTGAGTGTGCGTTCTTGGCGATCATGAATCGTGCCAGGACGCCATTCTTGGGACTTCAGCATCGCAAGCCAGTGTAACTGTTGCACCCGTATTGTCCTGAATCGTTCCCAAACCAATTTCTGGTACGTTGATTTTGGTAATCCGTGGACCATTGCAAATGTCATAAACGAATGTGCGCGGCGCTAAGGCGAGAGCTACATTCTGAAAAAAGAGAGTGTTAATAACGAGTGTGCGCGCCGCTCAAACGAGGATCACAGTTTGAAAACGACCTGCCCTCAATCCGTGAATCTCTTGCACATTTGAAAAAAAGAACGCGCGCGTAGCTAAGGCGAGAACCGCATTTTGAAAACGTCCCGCCCTCAATCCGTGAAGCCCTTGCGTTCTTTAAAACCGAATGTGCCAGGCGCTGAGGCGAGAGCCACATTTTGAAAACGACCGCCCTCCATATGTGAAACTGTTGCCAATGTTGGATCTTTCGAGTCAGAAATTGTAAGGAAGTCTCATGCGAACCGCTGGGCCCGCCCTAGAAGCTGGCCTCAGGGGGCGACAGGGAGAGATTGTGTATAAGGAAACGGGATGGATGATGATGGTGATGATGATGATGATGATGATGATGATGATGATGATGATGATGATGGGATAATAATCGTAGAGCATGAGTGTTGATGTGCACCGACAGTTTGGGGTGGGATCGTGGAATTTTCCTTTGAGCCTCGGAGCCCGCAGGGGCGTGCCAGCTTGTGGGGGGGCCTTTTCGCCGGTGGGCCACGTTCCCGGCCGGGCTCCCCTCGGCCCTCCAAAACGGGTGGGCTCGGTAGGTTTGGTTTTGGTTGCCCGTGAAGGCCCCCTGCCCTCGCGTGTGCTGCACGGCCTGCTCCGCAACCGTTTCATGTGGCTCCAATCTGGTACAGATTATCGCGAGGACTGGGCGCCCAGCCCACCTCGCAGCAGGGCGCGGCATGGCGCCCTGACGGGAGCAGCGGACTCCACCCGTGGAATCATAGATTGTGCGAGGCCGCGGCGCGCTGCCCAGGAGCAGCAGGTCGCGGCGAGCTGGTGTGCTGGACGCCGAGCGCCGCAGGCGCGACTTCGCCAGGCAGAGCAGGATGGCAGTGTCGGCAGGAGCCAAGAAGGCGGGGACCGACGCGCTGCGGGCCGCTGGTGCTGACGTTACGGACGACGACGTCGCGAGCCTCGTCCTGAAGGTGAGGGCGACGCTGAACGCGGGGCGGGCCCCCCGTTCGAAGCTGGACGAGGCAAGACGACTGGAGGCAGCGCTGGACCCGGTGGCCATCCGCCTGGCGCTGGGGAGCCCGGAGGTCCCGGGCTCTGAGATGGCCGAGGCCCTCTGGGGGTTCACTGAGGCCGCCACGTACGCCACGCAGGCGGAGAGCCGGATCAGGAGAGTGGCGGCCGACACCGATGGCTGGGAGAGGATCGCGGATCGGATCTGGGCCCGTGCAGTCGGCGACGACGGCGGCACGCTGCCCACCGACTGGCTGCTGCACCTGGGCATAGGGCTCCTCCTGTCCAGCCTGGTGGTGGTGCTTGGGGCCGACTCCGGGCGGCACCGCCTGGCAGGCGCAGCTGTGGGGCTGTGTGGCACCGTCCTGCTAGTACGGCGCGTGCCCGAGCGTGTGGTTGCCTGGTGGGCACGCTGGAGGCGGCGCTCGGCCTTCGCCGCGGCGCTGAGGAGCGGCGGGGACGGCCTGGACCTGACCGCCGCCGAGGACGACTGCGCGGCCTGGGACGCGAAGGGGGCCCCGACGACCAAGGGGGGTGGCGCGGGGGCCACGGAGGTTCCTACTGGCCCGCTGCACCCCCCGGGGCTGGCAGCGCTGCCGCCGTCGCCGTGGGCCCCACCTGCCGAAGGCGTGGGCGGGGGCGCCCCGCCAGCAAAGCCCGGCTCGCAGGACCTGGCGGCGCTGCGGGCGTTCGGCCAGGGGTCCGAGGTGCCAGGCCCCTTCAGCCAGACGGCGGCCCTGCAGCAGCAGCAGCAGCAGCAGCCACAGCCGAGCCCAGAGGTAGGCGTGCCAACGTCGGGGCTCAGCTTCCACGCGCCCCATGCTCCTGCAGACGCGGTGAAGCTAGGGCGCGAGGTCCAGATGGTGGGCGCCACGCTGCGCGAGTTCCAGGCGCAGGCGGCCACGAACGTGTACTGGGCCTGGCACTTCTGGGAGAGAATCGCGGCGGTGGATGGCTCCATGGGGCTGCATCCTGACCTCCGTCGCGTGCTGCAGACCCACGGCTACGTGGGCGCAGGAACGAAGTCCCCGCCAGGTGGTTCGCTGCAGCAGGAGCTGGACGCGCTGCTCTCCTCCGCCACAGCGCCGCATGGCGGGGGCATGCACGCCTCCCCTGGGTGGGCCGTGGCCCCGGTGACCCAGCAGCAGCAGGAGGACAGCCGATGGAACCTCAGCCTCCCGCCGGACCTGCGGCGCGCGGCGCCGGAGATCTACCGCACAATGCGGGGCGCTGGGGCGGCTAGCGCTCGCGACTGGCTGTCGCAGGAAGTGACGGGCCAGCGACACACGGCAGTCTGGACCGACCTGTGGACTGCCGCCACCAACGTGGACTACTTGCTGGGCGGGTGCAGGACCCAGTCCGAGCTGCTCACCCGCCTGGCGTCCGACGATGCGCTGGAGCTGCACCTGAGGCGGCTAGCGAGCTACGTCTACGAGATGCGGACGAAGGACAAGGTGGGTGCGGCGGCCATGCTGGCCGTGCGCCCGCCCGGGTCGGCCGCCGACTTAGCTCCCACATGGCTGGTGGCCGAGGCCACGACCCGCAGCAAGGCTGAGCACCAGCGTGACGAGAGGGTCCACGCCGCCAGCAAGCACGACAACCGAGGCGGCGTCCGTGGCGGTGGTCACGGAGGTGGAGCTGGCGGCGGCGCCGAGGCGGCGGGCGGCGGCAGAGGCAGAGGTGGCGATGGCGGGGGGCGCGGCCGCGGCCGAGGGGGTAAGCCCTCGGGCCGGGGCAAGCCTCAGGCTTGACAGCCACTGGCGGACCGAGGGGCTTGCGACCCCCCCTCGGTCCGAGAAGGTGCCCCGCGGCCGCGGGTGCAGCCTAGAATGCCAGTGACGGGGTTGCCTGGCTCGCTAACGCGGGCCCTGCAGTGGAAGGAGGCCGAGGCCAGGTCTTTCTTCCCAGTACCTCTACCTCATCGGCCACAGCAAGGAGCTTCCTCTTCCGGCAGGTTGAGGACGCGCCGGGCTCGGCGCATGCGTGTGTGGCGTCGGGCCTGTGGGCTCATCGAGCTCATGAACGGGATGGACCGCGGATCCCTGGAGGCGAGACCAGCGGGCCAGCGTGAGCCGAGCAACGACGACATGATGCTGGCCTGGCAGCTCGTGCAGCAGTATGCGTCACAGGACGCAGCGCGGTACGAGCGCGACTGCCGGGGGCTTGCCCCGACAGGCGGTCGAGGGGCGGATCTTGCCTGCGACCGAGGACCGCAGGATGCCTACACAGGAGAGCGCAAGGGTGCGAGCAGGCATGTGATGATGTGCGCCGCGGCAGTTGCAGAACCCCCCGACGACATGGTCGTGGACCTGCTGGAGGCGCTGCCTGACGGCGAGCGCCAGTACTACTCGGACGAGCTGAACGTTCTGGACTACAGCGGCAAGTCGGGGGTCCTCTTCGAGGAGCTGGAGGAGCGTTTCGCCTTCGTGGGGGGCTCGACGTCCGAGTACGCCCGCTACGTGATGCGGGCCGATTTGCCGAAGGACATGTGGACGTTCGAGGACCCCAACGACGTCCAGGCCTACTGCGGGTTCAGCTGTGTGCCCAAGAAGGACCCCACCAAGCAGCGGAAGGTCCTGATGATGTGTGCCAGCAGCTACGTGTGGGCCGACCCCCACCAGCGCGGAGACCACGGGATGCACGGCGGAGCGGCCATCGCCTCCATGCGCGTCCCGACGGACGAGTGGGGCGTAGCGGCGTTCGACGAGGACAACGCCTTCACCCGCCTCCGCGTCCCCGCTTGGATGGCCAAGTGGCAGGCTTGCCCGCCGATCCGCGCCTGCTGGGTGTGGGGGAAACTCAGCCAGCGCTTGCGCGACTTGGTGGGGCCGACGGGCTGGATAGCCCCCTGCTACCACCGCCTGGCCATGGGCGGCTCGCACTCCGTGCGCCTGCTCATGACGGTCAACATGGCGATCATCGGCAGGGCGCTGCTGGGCGTGGGCGCTCGCTTGGGGGCGCTCGCGGGCGCCGCGGAGCCCGCCGTGTGCGGGGCCAGCGGTGCGCCGCGCGCCTCGCCGCCCGAGGACGGGGGGCTGGAGGCGGACGACCTGGGGGATGCCGGACCTGAGGACGCTCAGCAGCATCGCTACGACGACGACTGGCTCGGGCGGCAGTCCAGCTGCCGTGCCGCGCCGCCTAGCCCGTCGGGCTACAGCGTGGCGGAGTGGCTAGAGGCGGTGAGGCGGGCGAAGCGGGACGACGAGCGTGCGATGGTGGCGATGCATCTCTTTGCTGGCCGTCGGCGGCGGGGCGACGTCCAGGAGGTGGTAGAGAGGCTGGCGATGGAGCGGAGCCTGAGGGTGCTCTTTCTTTCTGCCGATCTCCTTGACGACCCGCGGTGGGACCTGGCCAGCCCTCCCACCTTCTCCGCTTTGATGGAGCTGTGCGAAGGCGGCTGGGTGGACGTCGTGCTGGGAGGCCCGCCCTGTTCGACCTGGTCGCGGGCTCGCTACAATCGTCGCCGACCAGGGCCGCCGCCAGTGCGCTCGCGGCGGTGCCCCTGGGGGCTGCCAGGCCTCAGGGCCTGGGAGGCCGCTAGAGTAGCGGAAAGTAACACCCTGACGCTGAACTTGTTGGCACTCTGCGAGGCGTGCGGCCAGAGTGACGGCGCCTTCCTCATCGAGCACCCGGAGGACCCAGGGCAGGCGCCCTACCCACCCATTTGGAACACGACGGAGATGCAGGACTTCGAGACGAGGCGCTCGTCTCAGAGAGCGCGCCTGGACCAGTGCATGCTGGGCGGACGGACGAAGAAGCCCACGTGCCTGAGCGGCGCGCTGCAGGGACTGAAGGACCTGGATGAGCTGCGGTGTGACGGGCCCCATGCCCACGAGACGGCCGAGGGCAAGTTGGCCGACGGCACCTTCCGCACGAGCCCGCTGGCCCAGTACCCCGAGGGGATGTGCGAAGCGCTGGGCGCTTTGATTGTCCAGACCCTGGCCATCTTCGAGCAGACCGGTCTGGGCGGCACCGGGTGGCGAAGGCCGCCGGAGGCCGACAGGTCGGTCACCGCCTGGAGCTCGCGGAGCACTACGGCACCAGCGGTGGCCGTGCGGAACGAGGACGTGCTTCGCGGCCGTGGGCTGGTGCTGGACGGGCCGCAGATGGCCTTCTACCTGCGCGTCGACGACGGGGTGGTGATGGCCGGTGGCAGCGGCTGTGGCCCACGGGCCACAGAGAAGATGCACCATCTCGCGGATGCCCTGGCCGAGGCCGGCTTCGTGGTCACCGACCGCACGGAGGCTAGCGACATGCAGAAGGTGCTGGGCTACGCGCCACAGGCGCGCCCAGCGCAGCTGCGCTTGCCCCCGAAGAGGGCGCGGGAGCTGGCGCGGCAGCTGGAGGAGATGGGCGCCGCCCGCACCCTCCACACCGAGGAGCTGCGCTCGCTCTTGGGGGCGTGGATCTGGGGCGCCCTGCTTCGGAGGGAGCTACTATGCACACCCAGCGCCGTCTTCGGGCTCCTGGAGAGGCACCCGCACCAGCGGGTGTGTACCTGGGCGAGCGTCCGCAGGGAGCTGCGAGCTATGGCGCAGGTAGTCCCGTTGATGTACGCCGACCTGGGAGCCCCGCCAGCCCCCGTGTATTTCGCGGCGGACGCCATGGGCGCCAACGTGGAGGACGACGGCGGCTGGGGCATACTGGTGACCGACATGAGCGAGGACATCGCGAAGGACTTCATCGACACGGGCGGCAACTTGGGCTACACCGTGGCGCGGCTGGACGGCGAGCTCACTGGACTGCGACGGCCCGAGCAGGTCATCCGACGGACGAAGCCCTTCAGCCTCCTGCCGGATCGCGTGTTCAAGCCCGACGAGGACTGGACGATCGTGGGCGCGGGGAGGTGGCGGACGGCCGACCACATCACGCTGGGCGAGGGGCGCTGCGTCGTGAAGATCAGTAGACTGGCGGCCGCCACTCCGGCCCTCCACCGCACCGTGCTGCCGATCCTGGAGGACAACCAGCCAGTCTCGGGCGCGGCATGCAAGGGCAGGTCCCCGGCGCACCATCTGAACCACCTGTTGCGTCAGAAGACCGCAGCAGGGTTAGCATCTCGCACAAAGATTTTGATTCCATGGGTGGAGACGCTCAGGCAGCCTGCTGATAAGATATCGAGGTGCCTGACTCGTGCTGAGCTCCGCGGCCTACCTCATGTCGGGGCCGAGGAAGCTGGACAGCACTTCTGTTGAGAAGGTTAAGCCGCACACCCTGGCGGCTTACAGGGCAGCGGCTATGAAGTTCGTGACCTACCTGGACGAGCACGGCTTCGTCCCCGACGGGCCCGAGCAGTGGGACGACCTGCTTGTCGAGTACAAGAACGACATGCAGATGACCAAGTGCAATTTCGAGTACGCCGTCGCGGCGGTGGAGTTTGTCTTCCCACGCCTGAGAAGGAGGCTGACGTGGTCCCACTCGGTGATCGATGCATGGCGAGTTTCGGCAGAGGTGAAGCATGCGCCGCCGCTCGGCCGCGCGCCTGCTAACCTGGCCGCTATATACTTCTCCTGCTGGGGAGTACCGCGGCTGGGCGTAGGCCTGCTGCTGCAGGTGGATCGCGGCCTGCGCCCGTCGGAGATGCTTCAGCTGCGAGCAAAAGACATATCCTTGCCATCGTCTAGAGGGGGACCGGATTTGCAGCCAAATTGGGTCATCAACCTGGGGGCCAAGTCGGGCACAAAGGCCAAGATAATGCAGTTCGCCATTATTTTGGAGCAGGGCGGAGTACTGGAGAACCTCCTACACCGAGTAGTCTTGGGAACGCCGCCCGAGGGGCTCCTCTTTCCCTATTCTCTCGTCGACTACAGGCTTCGGCTCAAGCAGTTTGAAGCAGCCTTGGGCCTCGACATGCACTGGACGCCTCACTCGGCGCGCGCAGGGTTCGCCAGCGATTCCGTGGCTCGTGGTGTCCCCTTCCAGGACATCAAGGAGGCAGGACGGTGGCTCACGGAGTCCAGCCTCCGCATCTACGTGGACGTTGTCACCGCCTCCAGGGTCCTGGCTCAGGCTGAGCAGCGAGGAATCGCACCGCTCATCCGCGAGGCGGCCGAGAAGCTGCCCAACTACTTCCCGGAGGGCATCTTCGGCGAGGGTCAGGGCATCCAGCGTGCCGCCAGCGGGCTGGCGCAAGGGCCAGGACGGCTCCTGGGCTGCGGAGGGAGTCCCTCCAGCGCCGCTGGCGGGGGGCCGCCGGGTGGCCTCGCCAGCGCCCCGAGCGGCGCCAGCCCAGCCGCCTGCGCCAGCACTAGGCGCACTGGTGGATGGGCTGCTGGCGGGTCCGCAGCAGCCGGGGGATGCAGCAGCGGGCGCGGGCGCGGCCGAGGCCGAGGCGCCGGCGCCAGCGGCCCCTGGCGTGGCAGCACTGGGGCCCCCGCAGCCGCTGGTGGCGCAGCCGCTGGCAGCGGGCGCGGCCGCGGGGTCGAGACGCGCGCGCTGGAGCAAGTGGTCGCTGCTGCGCGCGGCCTGGCTCATCGCAAGGTGGTGCGGACGATCAACCTCGCGAGGAGTGACGTGGGCGGCGGTCGCCGCGATGCTGATCGGGTGGCGCTACATGGCTGGGCCGCTGACCCACGTCGGGACCATGATGGGCGTCGTGGCCAGCGTATCTGTCTCGGCAGGCAAAGTGGTCGACAGCAGCCTTGGGGCAGTCATCACGGCGGCACAAGGCGTGTCAGACTTCGCCGTGACGTCGTCCCGCAGCTCGGCGAGCCTCCTGCAGGAGGCCTGGCGCGGAGTGGACATCACCAACCTTCACGTCCGCCAGCGCCACGCCGAGCGGCTCGCGGACGACCCCGAGATCTTGCAGGACTGCATCCAGCGCGAGTTCCTGACAGGCGAGCCCCGACCGCCTGGAGCCGAGCAGGTCGCCACCGCGATCGCTGAGGCTTCGGTTACCATACCTCACATGTCGGAGAGATGGCAGATAATGATCTGGCCCAGTCAATGCCGCGAGCTGCACATGACACTCGACCTGCTGCCGTCAGGTTTCTACGGAGTCCATATGGTCGAGCGAATCGTGAATTTCTCGGTCCAGTGGAGCAACCCAGTGTGGAGTAGCCTCGACTGTGACATCAGCTCTGAGAGGGATACAGTCGTGGCTCACATCAACTCCACTTTGGCAGGGCTCCCGCTCCCCGAGATCCGCTACATGTCCATGACTGATCGTGAAATCCAAGTCGCCAGGCTCCCAGGTGCCTGGATCAATATTGCCCGTAGGTTCGTGCGTGCTGTATATATGGCAGTGAAGAGTGTTTTGCAGCTCGTTTTGTTCGGAGTCTAGGGTGGTCACCGAAGATATATGACTTTTCTGGAGCACACTGCGAGGGCGGGCCTGGGGGCTTGCTTTAGGTTTTGTTTTGTGTTCCAGGTTCCTTCTCAACTCATCAAGGTCCGCGCACATTTTGTGCCCCGGGTGAAGGACCAAGCTGTTGAGACACATACAGCTCGCGAGCGGAGGTGGGTAGAGCTCGGCGGCAAACTTGAAGTTAGCAGGCCTAGCAACAATTTTATTGTACTTCTCGCCTCCCCAGCAAAACATTCCAAGGGTGGGTCGAAACGGACACCATCATGGGATAATAATCGTAGAGCATGAGTGTTGATGTGCACCGACAGTTTGGGGTGGGATCGTGGAATTTCCCTTGGAGCCTCGGAGCCCGCAGGGGCGTGCCAGCTTGTGGGGGGGCCTTTTCGCCGGTGGGCCACGTTCCCGGCCGGGCTCCCCTCGGCCCTCCAAAACTGGTGGGCTCGGTAGGTTTGGTTTTGGTTGCCCGTGAAGGCCCCCTGCCCTCGCGTGTGCTGCACGGCCTGCTCCGCAACCGTTTCATGTGGCTCCAATCTGGCACAGATTATCGCGACCCCCCCACCGTCCCCCGCCGAGCCAGAGCTCGGCGGCAAACTTGAAGTTAGCAAGCCTAGCAGCAGTTTTATTGTACTTCTCGCCTCCCCAGCAAAACATTCCAATGGTGGGTCGAAACGGACACCATCATGATGATGATGATGATGACGATGATGATGATGATGCTGATGATGATGATGATGATGATGATGATGATGATGCTGATGATGATGCTGATGATGATGATGATGCTGATGATGATGATGATGATGATGATGAGGAGGAGGAGGAGGAGGAGGAGGAGGAGGAGGAGGAGGAGGAGGAGCGGGAACAGGAGCGGGAGCAGGAGCAGGAGCAGGAGCAGGAGCAGGAGGAGGGGGAGGAGGAGGGGGCGGCAGGAGGAAGACCGAGAGAAAGGAGGAGGAGGCAGGAGCAGGAGGAGGATGGGGGAGGAGGAAGATGAGGAAAAGGAGGAGGAGGAGGGTGATGATGATGCTGATGATGAAGCTGATGATGCTGCTGATGATGATGATCGTGATGGTGATGAGGGGTAGGATGATGAGCAGGAGGAGCAGGGGGAGGAGAAATTATCATACGAATAATACGAAGAATAATCGGAAGACGACGAATCACAATTATGAGAATAATAAGAATATGAGTATTCGGGATTCGGGGTCTATCACGAATAGTAAAAATAAGACGAAACATACTAATGATATGAAGAACGCAAGTTTCGTCGGAAAGTTCAAGCTCCATGGTCATAAAGGATCAAGAACTCTCAGGCGAATCTGGCCCACCCGACCGACATGTTTGATGGCCAGACGAGGGGAAGTTTTTCTTGAAGGAAGAATGGTGGAGGGGCGGGAGGATGACAGGAGGACGGGGATTGGAGAACAACGGGGGAGGAGGAGGGGGGATTGTAAGAAGGAGAGCGACAGCGAATGAGCAGATGCGGGGCAGAGGGAGGGAAAGGTGCGGGTGGCACACGGATGGCATTGAAGGTCCGAGGAGGAGGGGGACGAGGTTGACGGGGACGATTTGTATTACCTTTGAGCGAATTTTAGAAGCTCGGCGTGACTCGTGGGAACCATTCAGCCGGTCGCAGTGCCAGCCCGTTGCTCGTCAACGATTTCGGATCTTTTCATTTTGTCATGGCTTCTTCTAGTTCTTGTGTATCATCGTGCAGTGGTTGTTTTCAACTTCTCCTGCGAGGACTTTTTATACTGGTCTCTTGTGTTCGTTTTTCTTTCCCTGCCATTGCCATTCACGTCCGCCGCGCGTCCATACCACCCCTATCTTCTGCCCCCCCTGTCCCTTCCAACGTGCGCGGTCATGTCGCAGTTTCGTTGAAGTAGTCGCTCGGTGCTTTACATTCAACTGTGTGCGTCTCTTGGTCGCCTCGTGCGCTGGGTGGGTTTGCCAAGGTTCCGCCTGGTACCCGCCCTTGGACGCCTCGTGGCCGTCTCGTGGCCCTCTCGTGCGCTGGATGGGTGTCGCAAGGTTTCGCCTGGTGCCGTCCAATGGGCCGCCCGTGCCCGTAAGGCGACCGTATCGACAGCACGATACAGCTCTTACCGATCAGTTTGCACCACGCAGCTCACGCCACATAAAGCCTGCATCGCACAGCTTGCACCACACACCTTGCACCATTGAGATTGCACCGCAACGCTTGCACCGCATATCTTACACCACGTAGTTTTCACCACACTGCTTTTACCACACACACACACGCATACGCATTGCACAGTGTAGCTTACACCACGTATTCGCCCTGGCCTGAAGTGTTTTGTTTTCCGTCTCGCGTGAAAAACAAAGGACACAATTTGATCCCAGTACGGGTGTGCGAGAAGTCACGTGGATCCAATGTCTTTGTCGAATGGTTCAAACATGTTGGCGTGGAGTTCTCGTGGGTCTTCTTTATTTCCATTGAGTGGGTGTATACAGTATGTGAATCAGAAGGACCTACTTGGAGTAAGATCCTCGCAGCCTTTGGATCTGAAGACCAGTGTTATGATTCTAGGGGAGAGGATTTCCCCTTTACCGTTCAAATATGCGACGGGTTGGGAGGGGCGGAGTATGAAGAGGAGGACGCGGACGAGGAGGAGGAGGAGGAGGAGGAGGAGGAAGAACAAGACGATCATGAGTTTCAGGACGCGGATGAGGACGATGACACATGTGAAAACGAGGGAGACGAAGGGGACGACGCCCCGCCAAATCGACGGCTCGCATTCGGCATCGGGGGATCAAGAGGAGGATCCGTCGGCTTGCGTATATAGCCAACACCAAATAGCTTGCACAGCATAGCTTACACCAAGTATATTGTAGTACATTGCTCGCATCACATAGCTTGAGCCATATGTCTTGCAAGTCCACCGTGGTACAATAACTTACTGTTTGAGGGTCATGCTGGCAAGCATGCTTTACAGAGACAGCTCCTAGCTCTCTCTAACATGTAATCTGGGCTGTGTTGTTTCAGAAAGCGCGAGTCGCCATGCCCCATGCTCTTGAAGCTTATGTTTTCCTGACAAAGCCCCCCCTCCCCCCCCTGGCTTACCAGTGCCACCGCACTTCGGATATGCTTGGGAATTTGTTTATTTTCTATAGTGATACATTCTAGATGGGCCCCTCCCCCTCCAGATGGGCATCCCCCATCGGTGATGCCTGCCCACCCCCTTCCCCCCGAATGGCCCTGTCGAGCGTTCGTTCCGTCGGCCTTCCGAGCCTCATGGATGCTTGTGCCGGGCTCAGACACTGAGTCCAATGCAATCCGGAGGACGCCCAAGTGGCCCTACGAGAGCCCCGAGGCCGCTCCTGGAGTTCCCGAGGCCGCCCCAGAAGAGTCAATCGCACCCTGGCGGCAGAAGACGCTGACAGCAGACGTCCACAGCTGCACCTGCGGGAGAAAAACACAGGAGCCCGCACGGGCGACCACGGGAGAGGCCATGCGGGAAACGATGCGGGGGACCGTACAGGAGACCATAACGGATGGAGACCAGATTGTAGACTAGACGCGAGGCCGTACGGGAGGCCGTACGGGAGGCCATACGGGAGACCGTGCAGGAGACCATAACGGAGACCACATGGGAGGCCGTACGAGAGACCATACACGAGACCACACATCGCGTCTACGAGCGCTTTTGGTGTGCGAATTCGGCGCAGTCACCTCCTTGGCGGTGGCTCTGGAGACACTTACACCGCCCAGCTTCAGTTTCCGATGAGAACATCATTTGTATGCGAAGGCGCTCAGGTCGATCTAACGAGGCTTTCCCTCACAAGGCAGACTGGAGGAAATGGGCCGGCTGATGATTTCCAGGTCCGATGTATCATTTTCCAGGTCGAGGTAAACGTGTTAAGGCCCCCCCGTGCATGAAACGATACATCCCGGTGATTGGTCCAGGTCAAGTAGAAATGCCCCGTTTGGCGATTATGACGATATCAAGGGGCTTAAAAGAATGTAGCCCCGAGGCGGTTGCTATCATATTGCACGGGGTCCCGTGTGCCGAACGGGGGCTCGTGCATCTCGAAGTCCCCTCTCGCTCACGACTCGCGTGCGCGGCCCTGCCCTGCGTTGCCGTCGTCATGCGCGCCTCCTTTTCGGGCGAAGCGTTCGCGCGCGGTCCGCGCGGGAGGCCATGCGGGAGACCGTGCGGGGCGGGAGGATCTTGCGGAGGCCCGGCGCTGGACCGTGCGGGAGATGAAGCGACCGTGCGGGAGGCACGACGGCAGACCGTGCGGCGGACGAATACGGGAGACCACACGGGCGGTCATGCGGGAGACCGGGCGGGTGACCACGCGGGAGACCAGACGGGAGACGTCACACGGGAGACGGCGCGGGAGGGACCGCACGGGAGAGACCGCGCGGGAGGCCACACGGGAGAGACCGCGCGGGAGACCCTACGTGGAGGCCGTGGCGTCGCCCGCCGATCCCGGGGCAGGCAGCGCCCCCCCCCCCCCCAGGCCCTTCTCACCACGAGCCATACGGAGGGGGTCTTCGCGGGCGTCCAGGACCGCTCAAAGGCCTTCAGTATCGACCCAAAGCAGCTTCACGACAGCCCTCCACAGGTGAGGCCCCCCCCCAGGCCCCCCTCACGAACCATACGGAGGGCGGCGATTGTCTAGAAACGTGTCCAGCAGGCTTCAGGCCCTGGAGGATTCCTCCTTTGATGAGGGCGGCGGTGATATCCACGGCCACGCCTCGATTGGTGTTCCACCGGTCTCCAGACCCTGGCCTCCAGACCCTGGCCCCCATGCCCTCACCGCACACAGAACCCTTACAGATAAGCTGCCCAGAGAAATACGACTTGCAAGAGGCCTGCGAAGCATGCAAAGCATTGACTCAAGGGGCCAGCGGACTCCCTTTTGGTTTTTACACGGTCTCAATATGCACGCGTCTTCGGTCTTCGGGGGCGCCCGGGACCGCTCAAGGGCTTCAATATCGACCCAACGCAGCTTCAAGCCAGCCCTCAGCAGGTGATCGCTTTTTATTTCATTGTTTTGCCGATCGGCGCGGGCCCCAAACCCCCCGCTCCCCACCCACCCCCCATGGAGTAGATCTTGGCTGTTTTTTGGGGCGCCTGTTTCGAGCGGGTGGAGTCTCCCCCAGAGGCCGCACACTAAGCAGAGGTCTGGAGCCAGATCCCCCCTCCCCCCCCCTTGCCGCCCAGTGTCGAAACGCCGAATCAAAAAAGCCTCACCAGCCCCAGAACGGCCTAACATGGCCACGAGACGGCCCTGAGAGAGCCTCCAGACGGCCCGAGATGGCTCCAAGATGCCCAACAGGCCGTTGCCAGAGCGCCCGAAAAGCTTCACGAAAGCCGTGAGCAGCCTGAGAACCTCAGGAGACCCCCAAGAGCATCTCAGAGTACCCCCAGGAAGCCCTCGATGCGAACACCTCTGTAATTTTCTGCTGAAGTTTCGCTTCCACGATTTATTCCACGCGCTTCTTCGGTCTTCGGGGCATCCGAGACCGCCGACGAGGCAGCCAAGATCTCCCCAAGACAGCTTCAAGAGAGCCCCAATGAGCCCAAAGATGTCCCAGCAGGGCTCCCAAGAGAGCCCCCAGATGGCCCAAGTCGGACCCAAGACGCTCCCCAGGGCATTGCCAAAGCGCCTCGACGGCTTCACGAGAGCCCTGAGGGGTCCCAGAACCGCAGGAGACAAAAGGGAACCCCCCCAGGAGGCCCCCGAAGCGAACACATCATTCAGTTTCGTTCCATTTCTACGCTACGATAGTATTCCCGCTTCTTCGGTTCACCAGGCATCCGAGACCGCCGACGAGGCCGCCAAGATCACCCCAAGACAGCTCCAAGAGAGTCCCAACGTACCCAAAGACGCCCCAACAGGGCCCCAAGATGGCTCCGAGAGCACTGCCAGAGCGCCTGGACGGCTTCACGAGAGCCCCAAGCGGCCCCAGAACCCGAGGAGGCCCCAAGACTTTAAGAAGAGCGCACTCACAAGGCTTCGAAACTCCACTGTTCTTTTGGGTAAGGGGATTCCCCCTTCTTCAGCCTTTCAGGCAGCCCGAGGCTGCCCAACAGGCTCTCAATGTCGCCTGCAAGCGCGCCAGAGTAGCCCCGATGTTTGTTTATAGCCCCAAGGGAGCCCCAAGACAGTTCAAGCTGGCCCCCACACGATCCCCAAAGCACGCCAAATCGTGACCCCGCTTCTGAAGGAAACCACATTTGGCAGCAAGGTGGCCCCAGCAGCCCCCGGGCGACACCAACGGGACCCCCATGGCGATTGCGGTGAACCAGCCCATGGCGACCACGACCCGACCCCGGCACGCCCAGACAACTACCCAAAGCGTAGGTAGGAACCCTTGAGCGCAAGCCTGGCTTTACTGTCCCGAGCCTCTCTCGTTTCAGAGACGGCGCCCGGAATCCCAAGGAACCCTCGCCGACCCTTCCCTCGGCGGACCGCCTGGGCCTCTGTGGCACGTGAGCGCATATCCCCAGCGACAGTGCCCACGCACGCTGAGACGGCGCTCTTACCGAGGAGGCACTTTGCAATTTTCTTAGTAATGCAACTTAACCAGCTCCCCATGGCCAGAGTTGTCATAATGTCCACCATCGTGCAAGGACAAAGTGCCGGCATAGAGGCGAAGGGAATTGAACCCCCAAATATTCGGTGTGATAGCATGTCTATAGATATGCTTATTTGTATGTGTGTATCTATGTGTATGTACATAAACGTATACCTATATATAGATATGTCTGTGTGTGCGCATGTGTTTGTCTGTGCGCCTGCGTTTGCGTGTGCGTACGCATGTATGCGTTGGACGACATTGCGGAATACCAGCATCCCTTCGAGCTGATAATGCCGTACACAATTTGCAGGACAACAGTGCAGGTTGCTCGCTGAGACTCCAAGTCGAACGCACGGGAAATAACTGCAGAGATGATCAGACGGCCTCGAGCGCAAAGCTGGAGGATGGACACAAAAAGCGCGATATGGGGGGAAGGTGACGTGAGGATGTGGGCAGCGGGTAGGGCGAAGAGGCACATCTAATCCCTCATCAATTATTGATCCTCCTCCCTTGAGGTCTTCGGAGGTGGACGAGGAGAAGGAGGGAGCGGATAAGACCCACCCGCAGCCGAGGCGGGCCGTCGACGTCGATGACGATTACGACGCGAGCGGCGACGACGACAACGATCAGGAGGCGACGAAGACCACGACCACGACCAAGACGACGACGGCCACCACGATCGCCACGACGACCACCGCCACGGCGGCGGCCACGCACACGGCGATTGCAACCACGAGGAGGAGGAGGAGGAGGAGGAGGAGGAGGAGGAGGAGGAGGAGGAGGAGGAGGAGGAGGAGGCATCCGAGGCGGGCGGCCGCGACGCCAGCCGCGGTGCCGCGCGCGCGGCGGCGGCAGCCTCGCAGCAGGCGCCGAGGCGGGACCGCAGCCTGCACGAGGCGCCGACCGCTACGGTCCGCTCGGAGGGGCGAGGGCCGCCGTCGGTCGGCGCCTGTTGCTGCCGGTCGCCGTGGGCGCATGTATGCATGTATGCATGTATGTACGGATGGATGCATGCATGCATGCATGTCTGTGTATACATAGGTATGTGTGTATACATATAACGGCGCACCGGGTCCGGGGGCCCGGGGCCGGGACCTCGACCACAAATGTGGGCCCCGGGGGGCCCGGAGGCTGGTCGGACCGCCGGACGCCATCCAAGATCGTTCGCAGGCGGCTTCGGAACGCGCTCCGATGGCTCCAGATGCCTTCCAAGACGCTTGTCATGACACCAAGAAGGTCCCAGAAGCCTCCAAGACGCTCCGAGAGGCAGCCCAAGAGAGGCCCAAGAAGCAAAAATCGTGCCATTCCCATGGGAAAACGTATATTTTTCGCATGTTCGCCTCTTGGGCTTTCACCGCGTCCAAGACGGCCCAAGAGGCGCCCAAGACGGTCTACGAGGCCTCCGGGAGCGCTCCAAGGCTGCGCACGAGTGGCCCAGGACGGCCCCAAGACGGCCGAAGAGAGCCCCAAGACGAGTTCGAGAGGGGTCCCAGACGGAGAAAGCCAACCTCGAATTCCGAGCTTCCGGCCCAAGAGGCTCCAGGAGGCGCCAAAATGCCGCCAAGAGGCGCCAAAAGGCTCCCAAAAGCACCCCAAGACGTTCCGAGAGGCACCCCAAGAGAGGTCCAAGAAACAAAAATCGTGCCATTCCTATGGGAAAACGTATATTTTTCGCATGTTCGCATCTTGGGCTTTCACCGCGTCCAAGACGGCCCAAGAGGCCTCCAAGACGGCCTAGGAGGCCTCCGGGAGCGCTCCAAGGCTGCGCACGAGTGGCTCAGGACGGCCCCAAGACGGCCCAAGAGAACCCCAAGACGACTTCGAGAGGGGTCCCAGAAGGAGAAAGCCATTCTCGAATTCCGAGCTTCCGGCCCAACATATCCCAGGAGGCGCCAAAACGCCGCCCAGAGGCGCCAAAAGGCTTCCAAAATCAGCCCAAGACGTTCCGAGAGGCACCCCAAGAGAGGTCCAAGAAACAAAAATCGTGCCATTCCTATGGGAAAACGTATATTTTTCGCATGTTCGCATCTTGGGCTTTCACCGCGTCCAAGACGGCCCAAGAGGCCTCCAAGACCGCCCCAAGACGGCCCAAGAAGCTTCCAAGAGGGCCCCAGGACAGCCCAAGAGGGCCCCAAGACGGCCCAAGAGGCGCCCAAGATGGCCCAAGAGGGCCCCAAGACGGGCCCAAGAGGGGGCCCAGAGGGGGACCACGAACCGCAAGCTCGAGCCTTCCGCCCCAAGAGGCCGCCAGGAGGCCCCAAGGAGGCCCCTCAAGAGGCCCCAGGAGACCCCCAAGAGGCCCAAAGGAGGCCCCGAGAAGCCCCAAATCGGCCCCCAAAATGCTTCGAACCTGCTTCCAGGAGGCCCCCGACAGGTTCAGAGGCTCCCGAGAAGCTACGTCAAACTCCCAGCGAGCGGCCGGACGAGGCCCCCCACAAAATCACAAGAGGGTTCCAGTATTTGTATCCTTCAGCGCTCTCTGGCCTTCTTCCCCCTGCCCCCTTCCCTGCGACTTTCGTTGACTCAAGCTCGCCTCCTAGCTAGAACCTTAGCGCGCGCGAAGCGCGCGTGTGGTTCTAGTATCTATGTATGTATGTATGCACGCATGTATGTATGTATGCATGACTGTATGCACGCTTGTATGGATGCCTGTTCATATGTATGTATGCATGTATGCATGTATGTATGTGTGTATGTGTTTGTGTTTATGCATGTATGCATGCATGACTGTTTGCATGTATGTGCATACAGCAACATACGTATGTGTATACATATGTACATATATGAAGGTATGATTGCATGTGTATATGGATGCAGGTGTGTACGTATGCATGCATATACGCAGGTACGTACATATGTATGTTCGTATATTTGTAAATGCAAATGCATGTACGTGTGCACGCATGTCTGTATGACTGTATGCCTGTGTGCGTATGTATGTATGCATGCGTGTCTGTACTCACGTGTGTATGTATATATGTATATATGTATATGTTTGGATGTGTGCATGTATTTATGTATATGCACATGCATGCATGTATGCACGTATGCATGTATGTATGTATGCACGCATGTATGCATGCATGTCTGCATGTATGTACGTATGGGTGTTTGCATGCACGTATGTCTGCGAGTCTGCATACATGTATGTACGCATGTATGTAAGGATGCATGCATGCATGCATGCATGTATGTATGTTTGTATGTATGTATGTATGTATGTATGTACGTATGTATGTCAGAGTGAAGGGGGCCGAACGGTCATTCATTGTCCCTGGGTGCGTGGCTCAATAGGGAATTTGTGGTGAGGATTACGCTTGTTGTGTTGTTGTTGCTGCTGTTGTTTGTTGTCGTCTTCCCACCCCGCGACCCACCCACGACCCACCCCGCGACCCACCCCGCGACCCACTTGCGACCCACCCCGCGACCCACCCGCGACCCACCCCGCGAACCACCCGCGACCCACCCCGCGACCCATCCGCGACCCATCCGCGACCCACTCGCGAACCACCCCGCCAATTACCCCGCGAACCAGCCGCGACTCACCCCGCGATCCACCCTCAAGGGAGGAGGAACCACCCGGACCCGACAATTGACGTTTACTAAAGGGCCTTGGGTGTTTACTAAACAGCCCTGCCTTGTTCGATTCATTCCTTGTGTGCGTTTGCTCAACGGCTTCGCTTGTCGGGGTGATTATTATGGGATGGATTTT